TAKTGTTAGCTGTTACTTCCTGCCCTGCATCATGCCAAGGATTTGAAAATCCATTCCACAGCCACTAGTCTCTGAAYGATTTGTACAAATGTTTTCAAAGCACTGGCTTACAATATGTTTTCCCTGAATATCCTGTGCTAAAACTTACAATAGTAACTTCTTTTTCTCACCATGGAAAATCTATTCAGTGTTAGTTAGCTTGAGCTGCTGTGGTACAAACTTCCTTTGTTTTCTTTGGAGTTGTATTTAAACTCTTCTGTTAAGGCTAAACTATCCAGTTGGTTGAGTCACAGTTGGACTAAACAAGGTTTTGAAGTTTCTGCCTGATCTAATACTGCACTGAACCTAATGCAGAAAGAGTATATRAAGTTAATCAAATACTTCTGTGTTTGAAGGTGAGCACGACACTAGCAAATAATTATTTTTATAGATTTGTTAAAGACTTTGAGAGCTTCATAAAAAWTTTTTAACAATGCACGAGTTTGGCAAAAGAGCCAGTTTTTTCTGCAAGGCAATTCTGCCTGGATCAGTGCCTAAGAAAGATGGATGTCAGTCCCCTGATATATCAGATYTATCTATGGTCAAATAAACTCTGAAATCTTCATGAAAAAGCTCTCCTCTGTAGTAGTTATGTGCCCTGATGGTGTTTGCCTGTGGTGTATTATACAGCTGCATACTCTGTAATTATGTACAGAACTTGAGTAAGGTATTGTTTGAGTAGTGCAGCCTCCAGCAGCAGACTGGGACACCCCTCCTACCCAAACAGCTGGCAAAAGGTGAGAACTCCCTCACCCCAGTTCCATGTGGTAGTTTTTTAGGAAATAAAGCATTGTAAGAATTTTGTATTGAGAATTCTGATGACAGTGAGACAAGTTGCCTTGTAAAGTAAATCTGAAATCAAAAAGCTCATTAAACATTTCAAAACAGCTCTTGCCAATCTGACTTAATGAATGTTAAAACTTAGGTTGTTAGGTCAAAACCTTGGCTTAGCACAGTTCTCACCCATGTTTCAGTTTAATGCTTAAAGCTTCTGCAAAGCTTCACTGCAGCTGCTTTGCAGAAAAAGCAGTTGTAAAACCGAAATGGTCCTGAATTTCCTGTGTTTTGAACCTCTGGCAAGCTGCCATCACCACATCCCGTGTGACACCGCTGCCATGGGGCTGTGTTGGCACAATGTCACTGCCAGGGTGATGAGTGGCAGGCCCTTTGATGTCACTGCCTTGGTGCCACCAAGCAGCAGCTCCATGCATGGCCAAGGTTTTCCAGGGCCTTGAGCTCCAGCTCCAGGCATAGACTGCTGTGCCCCTGCTTGGTTTGCAGCTGGACATCCACCAAAGTTCACACTGTTGGAAAACACTGCAGGAGGCACCAGCTGGACAGAAGGAGGCCTGATGCCAGATCCAGGCTGCTGACTGCCAGGGAGAAAGCACTTGCTGAAAAGGAAAAGGAAGCAGAAACAGCAGGACTGAGATGATTCTCTCCAACAACCTCATCACCAGGCTGACCCACAGCAACTGCTGCGCTACCAAAATCATCCAGAACTGTCAGGGTAAAGAAAACCTGCTAACAGTGTCTTTGTAGCTCTGGAGAGTGAGGCAGTATTTTATTCCTGGCCAGRGTTTGTGAGTGGCTGACAAAATTCCAGCTGCTACACGGACACTGGTACAAAACTTCTTCACCTATTTCTACATTTTTCACAAACAAATTAATGTTCATTGGTTCTAAATTGCATAATTCTCTTTCATTCATTAGTATACTGTCCTCTTTGGTTATTGAATCCTTGCTCTTCATGCTAATTAGTCCATATTTTTAGGATTTTTACGATCTCTTTCCTCCACCAGGGACTTTACAACACACAGAAACAGTCTTTGTCAGTCTCTTCTGATTTCTGCAGAATGTCCTTGTACTCCATGAATTCTGCATTCCAGATACCCGTCTTCAACAATACATCTTTCTCTCCCAGGCTTTGTTCATTGAAGCACATCAGAGTTAGTTTATCAAAACTTAAGGTCTCTTTTATRTGTTCCCATAAAAGTAACTTAGGCCAACTTTGCTAAATGCTGTCTAAAAGTGATTTAAGACTAGCACATTGCTTATAATTACTATGCTTGTTATGATTAATTAAAACAAGATAAARCCATTAATTAAAATTTAAAAGTTATGTCATTTCCAGCAGCTCCAGCAGTGTGGAAAGGCTGTAAAAAATCCCTAAAACAACTTTTGCTGTCCCTCTTGCAATGTGGCTCATGGGAGGTARGTTGTCTGGTTTAGTTTTTATCCAGACAAGATGATGTGCTGCTGCAGCATTACTCCAGAGTGTGTTTCTAAGGGGTTTCCTTCCTCTGACACCGAGTTCAGTGCAAACTTTGGGGTGCAGCAGAAKGGTCAGATTGCTGGGCCCACGGTCAGCCCAAGTGTGCAGAACACTGGTTACTGATGAACACAGGGCATCCCATCTTGAAAAAAAATTCCCAGAGCTCCTTTCCATGTTACGTGCATTTTTTAACCCAGACTTTTGAARGGTTCCTGACCAAAGCACCTGCTTAACTTAGGTCCTTGTTTATGGAAGTAAATGAAGTTGTAGTCTCTTAAACAAAGGCAGATGTTTTGTTTGAAAAGACAAGAGAGGTGAGGCATCTACAGAAACGATTTGTACTGACAGTAGGTTTAGGAAACAAGCATGACTTGGTCCTGCAGAACGTGATTTGTGTTTAAAAGCASTGCACATAATGGCAATGCAGGAGACAACGGCATCTTGGAGCCTTTGCTGTTTTTCTCACTTAATTCCAGCCAGGGATTGAGCCTTGCATCCAGAAAGTGCTGTGTGTGACATGTTTAAAGCACGCTGGATTTCAGTGCCAAAGCAACTTAACTCATCTTTCTCAAAATTCAAAAGTCTGTAATTCATCTTAAACTGAATGTGACACTGAGCTCCCAGCTTGTGGAGAAGGTACAAGGACAATTTTTAGATTGGTTGGTTGCCTGATTTGTCAGAATATAAAATGTACTAACGAGATATTTCTAAGCCATGTCTCCTGAGCTGTTTTTGCTGGCTCACTGGCCCTCAGTACTCTGAGGGAATGCTGTTGAAGCAGAATGTTTMAGATTTATTCTGGGGTGCAAGTGAGTATTAAATAATCTTGTAAACATTAATGAAACTGCCTTTATTGCAGCCAACACTTCATACCAGCATTTTAAAACCTTTATGTAATTTTAGCAACAGTACTATGAGGTTGCTTTAATACCCTTGTTTATTGCTGATCATTACCCAGCATTTATTAGTGGAAAAATGGAAGCAGCTGGTTAATATACTTGAAATATTTATGTGGTCAGATATTTCAAGTGACATATTTGCAGGCCAGRATTCGTTGTCATGACCAGTTCTAATGTGGGTTTTCGCTATGGTCCTTAGATTTTGTCTTTGGATTTTGTGTTATTTTTGTGTTGTTTTGGCACACCAGGCTTTATGGTGTGGTTTGGTTATGCCAGTGCCATATAAGCAAAGTTCTATTTTTTTGCATTTCAATACATRTTATTAAAATCACCATTGTATTTTCTTCCAGTCACTTCTGGTCCTTTTAACCCTGTTCTTACCTAAACATAAAAGTGCTATTTTTTCTAGCATTCCTTAAAACTTGTCTAAGCAAATTAATTGCAAAATCATGGTTTATTTCTGCCACTTTTCTCTGCCAAATGTGAATGACAGTGCAATGGTTGGTTCTRTTCCTTTTCTGGGCTCTGTAAATGTTCGCATCTCATTTGTGGGGGAAAAAAAGCGTAGCTTTCTTTTGAGGATTAATTTTTTTTCTTGCTGTCAGCATGTGAGCTCTGCTTTTGCATAACTCAGCCTGGACCCACTTCCATCAGCAGTTAAGATGAAGGATATGTTTTTTTAGATGAGCAACAATCAGCAGTCCTGGTAAGATCCTGTATGGAAGAACATTTAGGAAGGGAGGGGTGTGTGTAAATGCTCTTACAGTGTTGATAATTTTTGTCTGATACAGGGAGAGGGGAGGCTGGTGAGAACAGCAAGATGGTCCCTGTCCAAAGATGTCACTTCGTGCATGAAATCATTATAAAATGTGGAATGAGGTAAAACCAGTACCATCTGAGAGCATATTTGCTGTGAATCTGTCACTATTGATGCCGCGTGCCAGGAAGGCCCAACTCACAGGTATTGCTGAGCTGGATGGTAGATTGTCCCGGTTTAGAGACAATTTTAGGAGAAAACTCCTGGAATGAATGTTTCCTCTAAAAAAAAGGGTTTCAGCAATCCCTTTCCACCGACACGAAATGCATTTTCTGGAGGAAATTGAAAAGAAAACGTGTTTATTTAATAAACAAGGTGCCTGGAGGGCACAGGAAAAAATTAATAACTGTTAGATATTGACCCTTCAGAGCCTTACCCACACCCACCCACAGCAGAACAAAAACCCCAAAATGCCMGGRGAAGGTAAAAACTACTGAGCATGTGGCCAGAAACAATAAAATGATGCATGGCTTTGTCTTGGCGGGGGAAGAAGAGTCCACATGGGAGCTCAGGGGGAAAAGGAAAACAGATGGGAACCTGGGGAACCTCTGATGTTGGTCTGCTCCTTGCAGCAGATGAAGCTGGTGGATTTAGAGCCCTTTCTTTCCTTGGTTCAGCTTCTCCTGAGGTCTGGGGCCAAAGTAGTCCCCATGGCACTCCCGCCAATGATCTGATTCAGACCAAAAATGGAAGTGGAACAGTCCGAGAGAAAACAACATAAATCACYGAAGAATTGGTTCTACAGTCCAGAGAACAACTTCCTGCCTAAGCTAACACAAACCAAGCAAGCTMAAAGCAACGATGCAGCCTCTGATTGCMCRGCAAACCGAGCACACGGGAGAGTGAGAGCTTGAACAAAACCCRYRCCAGAGTTCCYCCGGCTCCYRAACCTGCCCTGGCCTCACCCTAAAGCTACAGGACCCATTTCTGGGCATAAAGCAGATGAWCAGGAATAGATTATMGTCATAAAATCACCCYGAGGCACAGGTGMAGAYTGAAAAGGCAGAAGCACAGGCTTTGGGAAGGTTGTCCTGGGTTTAGTTGAGGATTTGCAAGGGCTCACCACTGCAAACCCCTGGATGACCCTGGTAGCAGCAGACACATCCTGCTGAGGAGCCATGTGTTCCCTTATCCTGGCAGGTACACCTGCCAGTGTGGGCAGCCAGATGGAGCACAGTGCTGGTCACAATCATGGGCCATCTGGCCTGTCACAGGACACCAGGGAGGAGATCAGGGGTCAGTACCCAACAAGAAACCGGGGGCCATGAGCTGTAGCAGCGCTTCAGGCTGGATCCCCCAGCCTTCCTCTGTCAGTGCAGGGYAGCCTGGCACAAAAGGACACGTTTATCACCAGAGGCCAAACCAACATTTTATTATAATTTCCACACTCAGGAGGCTGTGCCTGGTCTGTGGTCACACTGGGCCAATCCCTGCCCCTTGTGATGAGCCTGGACACCTTGCCAAGGCATTTATATCCCAGGTGCAGGAGCTGACCCCAGCACAGGAGCCTCACACAACATTGCTTCTAGTTCTGCAGCTGCTAAATGCAGGAATGGTCATGAGAAAAGCCTGAGCTGTCAGATGGTTACGCTTTTGCATTGTTATACATTGCCTTGCAAGCCGAGGGTGTCTCAATGTGCCAAAAAATGGGTGGGCTCTACTGAGCACCTGTGAGGGTACAGGAGCTGAGTTTCCTGGGTTAATGCCATGCACAGGGCCCACAGGAATCACTGGGAGCCTTCCMGTTCAGGCCAGTGGGCTCAGCAGGTTTCCATAACCAGCCTCTCTGCATCACCTCCTCCTTCAACCCTTGAATTTCCCTTTTTCCTTTGCCTGCAAGCTTGGATCACAGCATCCCTGTGCTTCTAGCCCCATGCACATTGCTGACTAACAGCAGCAGGGAAGGAGCTTGAGGCAAGGCACTCACTCACTGCATCCAACCCAGTGGGCATGAGCCAATGGCCTTTCCCGAGCTGCACCGGTGCTTCTTGTTCACAAAGCCACAGCACTTTTAATAAGCTGCTTAAGTCTAGGCACAAGCTGAACTCTAAGGCGCCTGTAATCACAYCCAGTCCTTTCCCAGAGGAGCAATGCTGCCTTGCCTCTCTCCAGCRCGAGCAGAAGAGGCTTGCCTGCTTCCCAAAATTCACTCGTGCTCAAAGAACTCGTGGCAAGCGGCAGTGACCATCGCAATGAAGGCCACGAACTCCTGGAAGTCGCATTCTGCATCCCCGTCGCAGTCCAGTGCCTCCATGACTTTGTCCACAGTCTCCTGGTCTTTGATCTCCTGAAGGRATAGGAAAAGTCAGCCAAAGCTGGGAGGAGCACAGTGAGGCCCAGACAATACCACATCCCCATTTGTCAAGTGCTCTCATGGCTGAGTCTCTGTTCAGACCCATCCCAAATAGCTTGTGGCTGTTCCCACTCTGGTGGGGCACTGTCCTGTGCCTCTTGGAATTGCAGCCGCAGCTGAGCTGCTGGGAAGGGACACCTTGAGCCCCTTGGGGCAAGGCTGTGCTCCTGYGGCAGGGAAGGTAATTTCCCTAGTATCCAACCCACACCTCAGCCTGCCCTACAGGCTGTTGCCCTCATCCTGCTGCTCTGCAGAGCTGGAGCAAAGGATTTCATGCCCTGCTGTGTAAATAAAGCCCTTTGCCTGTGCTGCCTTTGCCTGTGCTGCCTGAAGAGAAGGGAGACAGTGGAACGCAGTACCTACCCCGAGGAAATGGGTCAGCTCATTGTTGATGAGCTCCTTCAGTTCCGATTTCTTCAGCTTGTGCTTGTCYCCCTCCTTCCCGGAGTACTGGTGGAAGGCATCGATGATAGCGATCATTGCCTTCTCCAGCTCAGACATGGTCGCGGCGTGGCCCTGGGGTCAGAGGGGATGGTGGGAACGCAGCCTGGGCAAACTCCAGCAATTCCTATTGCTTTGGAATCATGGCCACCCCTGGGCTCTGCCCATGGATCAGCAAGCTCGGACCTGCACTCGGGGTATTCCTCTGGGAAGCACTGGCAGCAGCTCTGGCTCCAGGGACACGGTCCAGAGACACCACAACTGCTGCCAGGGGCTCTTGAAGCCAGCAGAGCCACAAGATGAGGAGTGGACAGGCAGGGGGACAGTTCTGCTCTGGAGTTTCACAAATGTTTTGCTGTCCCTGCTGYCACAGGTCCCTTCCTCTTATGCCTTTCTTGCAGACCTGTCTCCAGCCCAGCAGTCAGGACAACCGGGTAGAAACCAGTTTTGATAAGTGCCAGGAGGTCAAAATGAGCACCTCTCAAAACTCCCTTTCCTGCACTTGAGCTGGAGACCCTCTTTGGGATGATAATAATTTGGATTGCAGCGTTCCCTACAGATTTCACAAACGGATGAACCAAAGAGACTGATCGAAAAGGGAGAGCTGCCAGCCCACTTTCCCAAAAGCTAGGGAAATAAAAAAAAATCCTTATTGCCTGGCACTTGGTTCGTTCATATTCCACAGGTAAATTCTCCTGCCCTGCGACCCCGGCTCCTGTTTCTCCATCACAAGATACTGAATCTCATCCCACTGATCAGCTGATGTCCTCCTCTGCTCASCAGTGTCCGAACTGAAAGACTGTTCCCAGACAAGGTAGGAAATATCCTAAGAGCCCTTTGCATTCTCCTGCCCTGGTTCTTCCCTCCGCAAGGCTCCAGCGCTCCGCCAGCTCCGCAGAGGTGCCGTGGAGCGGCAATACAGCCCTGACAGTGTCCCCACCCCTCCCAGGACAGCCCCCCGGCGTCCCCCGGCCCCTCTCACCTCGCTGCTGCCGGCGGGGCTGTGGCTCAGGATGGCTCAGGATGGCTCGGGATGGCTTGGGATGCACCGCGGTGGCCGCTGGCTTCTTATGGCCGCGGGAGCGGGGAGGCAGCGGGGCGGGGCGGGGTGTCCGAGCGGGCGCTGTGCCCGCTCCGCAGCGCTGCCCGCGGGCACCGGGCCCTCTGCCCACGGGGAGCCGCTGGAAAGGAGCCTGGTGRGGRGAAAACAACGCCTGCTTCACTTGTTTGCTGAAGATGGCAAGGGRACATAGTTGCAATCAACCAGTTTTTACAGGTGACACACACGTAGTGATACAGCCTGTTTCAAAGTGTATGCAGTAAACTGATTTTGTTTTGTAAACGAGCACTTGGAGATTATCCTAAAGCCATTTGTTACGCATTACAAATATATTTATTATGATGCCATTTATTTGTTCWTGTTTTTCAAAGATGGAATGCCTACTCACTGTTCGTTAGATGGGTGTCTTTCTGTGCACAGAATGTTCTGTAAATCAATTGCAATTCAAAGATGTGAATGCTTTCTTTAAAGCTGCTGTTCCGCTCTGAACAGTGAGTATGCAAAAATAGCAGTTCCTTGTACATCCCATCTTTTCAYTACGTTTACCCCAAGTCAGTGGAAGTACACTATTAATATTGAACACACTTTTTCTGCTCTCTACTGTTTTAAGATTGTAGAGTCAGGCCAGACAGGGAAAACATGGTTATTTCAATTCAYTCAGCTTCACCAAACAAATGCTTTGCTACCACCAACAAAATGCTTTGTCAAACTGAAACCATTGTTTCTTGTGCAACACCATTCAAACCATGGGAGTGAGTGAAAGCCTCGGTGGGAATACATTTTGCAGTCAGTGTGAGCATAGGCCTTATACTTTTCTGTGTGTATTGTTCAAGAGACGTTGAAATGTTCAAGAAATATCCAYCTAACACCAGAGACAAGTGAAACTGCAAATATCTTGAACCAATTCTGACAAGGGAGGTGTAAATCAACATGCAAAACTCAGAAAAAGAGGGATTATTATTTGTATACTGATTCACACTAGAAAAAAATCTTTTCTTTTTAGGAACTTTGAAAAGTTATCTCAAAATTAAATTCTTTATTTACTTTTTAAATGGGGTTTTTGTACAAAACTTGCTCACAAGTCCCTGCCAGCCCCAGCAGCCACAGTGAACCAGCATTAAATGCACTTTTCTCTAAACCCTGGACATACCCATATTTCCTGGCAGTTCCTGTGTTCCCCAAAACTACTGGTAGAACACCTACCATGTTACTTTAAAAACTTTTTCACATACTAGTGTAAAAGAAACCCATCTATATTAATTGTTTCCTCACATCAGGTCATGAAAGCTTTTGTAACATGTTCCARCTCTGGTTTGGGGAAAAATAATTTTCCTGGCATTCAGGCTGAGTAAGTCAACTCTAAATATTTACCTGACCAGTGAAATTCTTGCACTTAGGGCATTGCAAACTACACCAGTTGTCTGCTCTGGTGGGACTGGCAGGGACAGCAGGGATGCTTTTAGGCAGTGGTGTTTCTAGGGTGGAGGTAGTTCGTCAGCAATTTTGCACTGTTTGATTCTTTCCAAGGGTATTTGCATTCTTGTAAGAGCTGGCTATAAATGGGGCTCTCTGTCAGCAGGAAAGAGACAGCATTTTTCAGTTGATAGCAATTTGATTTGCTAGAACCCGAGCCTCAGTCTTTAGCCAAGAAATGCATTACAGCAAACCTTTTCTAGTCAGAGACAAGATTCTAGCTCATCTCCTTMAACCATTTTCTGRTGTCATTCTGGAAAGTGACCTTTCCTTAAAATGGAACAGAAAAATTAGCATTTGACAGATCAAAACTTGAACAGTCTTGAAATTCTCTTCCCTGATGATTCTTGCTGTCCATTTCACCCCAAATCAYTCTGACTTCTGTATTTTACAGGTGRTGATCTGGAATGTTCTGCTGATAGGATGGGAAGGAGCACAGGATCAGGGGTGAACACCAGAAACTTCGACCCTCTCCTGCCTCTGCTAATAAGCAGCTCCAAGTGACTTTCCTGATCCTTTTCCAGGCYCACATCATCACAGACTGCTCTCCTGGCCTGGATTACTCCAGTGATGCTCCAGCAGGTCTGGATATGGTGTGAGGCTGTGGGCTGGCTGTGCTTTCAGTGCTGCCCAAAGAGCTGCTTCTGTTATCCTTAAATTCATGTCCTGATCTTCAAACAAACGAGSCCAGCCTTGGGGCTCCTTTCCTCAAGGTCAGGGCTTCCTTGCCAGAGCTCTGGGYTGATGTGTTTAAAGAAGCAAAGGGGTGATAGTGCTGAGCAAAACACTTGAGGCCTCTGCCTGTCTCCCTCACAATGTGGGCTCTTCATACCAGGCTCAGGGAGAAAAGCCAGCCTATTTCTTTGTCTCTCTGGTGTGTGTGGCACCAGGCTCTGCCAGACYGTGAGACAAAGGCCAGCAGTCATTGAACTGGGAGAATAAAAGTAAAGCAAGAAGAGGAATTTGGGTGGGAGGGTGAAGAAGCTGCCTCTGCCTCTGCAGGGCTCCACTCGCATCCCAGCACAGAGCAGTATTGCAGGGAGCAGCTGCCCTGGCACCTACGAACACAGCAGCCAGAGCTGAGCTGGTTCCTGGCTGAATCCAGCTGACAGTCAGACACAGAAAAACTTGCATGAAAACAATGTCTAACAAACAGGAGTTTGGTAACTATTAAAAATTTCTACAGYAGGTGAGTTGTACAAAGACAGATAAATAAAACCAAGTTGTTCATCTTCCATCACTCCCCTTAGGCAAATATTACCATCAATTAYCTTAAGATTTTGGCATCCCCAGGGAAGTGGAGGTACTTGCATGAACCTCATTTCAAGCAGATTCATTGACAAATTTTTTTTCTAAAACCAAAAATAAACAGACTATTAAGCCCCAAATACAACACCCATGTAAAGTAAACTTCTCTCAGCTCATACAAACTGTGTAAGTGAAGCAGCACAGCTCTCCCTACTGACGATCAGTGGGAAGAGACATGAGTCAAAGACATTATCCCTATCCATTATCCCTCAGGAGTAGTCCAGCACCATCCAAAAAATATTTGGCTCTTTCTGAGCATAGTCGAGGCTGAACCGGTGTGTGGCCTAAGCCTAGTTTGTAAAATAAATAACAAATTAATTCTTTAATAATTTCCCAAATAAAATTACTGTATCCTCTCCAAATAATCCCTGACATTCTGACATGAGTGAAGAGCTATTTGCTAGGAGTATTTTAAATTCAACTTGTACTGTGCACTATATACTATAAATATTAAGTATAATATAAGTATATATATTAATAGACAGGCATTTTTCTGTCCTGGGGYGCTGATGGGTGCCACATTTGGGAGCAGCCCTTTTGCCCCAGGGCAATGCACAGGCATGGAGGGGCTTTTCTGTCAGCTTAGCCTGGTCTGGTGTCACCTCTGTGGCAGGAGAGAAGCCAGGTCACTCTGAATGGCTGAAAGGAATTTCATCACTCCATTTAAACAAGTRCTCATTAAATTTCCACCTAGCCCTTCCAACAGCGCAGCAGCAGCAAGTACAGCATCTCTGAGATTTACAATCCTTGTGTACCTCCTTTTGGGGAGCCTTCTTGAGCCAAGAGGCTTTGAAGGGCTGAAGCACACTTGGCCTGGGAAGGGAGTGATGCCACATTAGGGGCAATAGGAAAGAGATGTCACTGGGACAGGACAGGACGGGAGGACCTCTGCCACCTCTTTATGGACTGGTGCCCCACGGCACTATCTGCATGAAGGTGACATGCCCCCACCCGTGCTGGGGACACCATGGTAGCGTAGAGCAAAACAGTGTTTTATGAGTGTCACCCCGCCGGCCGCACCCCTCCTSACCCGGGCAGAGCCCCGGTGTTCGGCGGGTGCCTGACACCCCTAGAGAGCCAAGCTGAGGACGGTGATCAGGGGCGGTGACAGCAGCGGGGGAGCACGGGGCAGCGGGAGCGTGGGCACCCGTGGGTTGGGGTGCATTGTCCCCGCGGCTGGCACTGCCCCCAGGCACGTGTCCTCAGTCCCTCATGGCCCGCAGGGACAGGAGCTGGGCACTTGGGCTGGGCCGCCGTTGTTTTGTTGTTTCCATTAACCAAGGAAATCACACGCCCAGGCTTTGCGGGGTGCACGGAGGCGGGGACAGTCACTCGAGGGGGTTGGCGCTGACATCCAAAAGGACAGAGCGTCTGTCGGGGTCTGTGGGAGCATGCACACCTGGGCAAGCGAGCGCGGTGGCCGTGCCGGGGGCAGACATGTGGGACG